CCCCCCCCTACCCTCTTATAATTGGGAATCTGATCTCTTGTCGTAGAACAAACGACCAATCCTTCGTCCACGAACCCGCCCCACCGAGGGCCCCGACACCTACAAAGACCCCTGCCCGCCGCTGGGCATCGAGAGGTAGCACCCGGGGAGGGCGGGGAGGGCGTGGCAGTGGGATCGCTAGGGGAAGGGGGGTTACGAGATAGTCTACAAGTAATACATGGGAAATGGCGAGGGCTAGCTTTTCAATTGTATCATAGCATAGTAGTGGTGGTGGTGGTGGTGGTGGTGGCGGCGTTACACGACTTCGCACCGTTGAAGTCATGTCTTTGACAAAGTGACACATTCTAGAAGACGTTCACGTACGGCAGTGCTGTTGCAAGAGGAAGAGTTGCCCAGTTTGTGATGAAAGCTTCGTTTGTGTGATATTAATCCTGGCGTTCTCCGGTTACCGTAGACTACCAAAAACCAAAAACGGTGATAACCCGAGAGCCCCAGGAACTCGTAAAACCCCCCGACTCCCCCGGGGTGGGGCAACCAGCAACCAAACATCGATCAAGCCATCAAAAAAATCGAGCCCCAAACGATAAAACATCACGACCACCACCAGCTCAATCAAAGCCCAACTAACCACGAAAAATGTCCGCTGCAGCTTGCATCTTCTGCAAAATCATCCGGGGTGAAATCCCCTCCTTCAAGGTTCTTCCTCCCACCCCTCTCCGTTCCCCACATCCCAATCCAAAAAAAAAGAAGAAAAAAAAGAAATCCCACCCCGCACTAACCGATACGCCTCACAGCTCCTCGAAACCGACAAAATCCTCGCATTCCTCGACATCAATCCTCTCTCCCGTGGACACGCCGTAATCCACTCTCTCCTCCCTCTCTCGCCCCCACCACAGGCAGGTGGGCAGATGACTGACCCAACACCTAGCTCGTAATTCCCAAAACTCACGGCGAGAAACTCCACGACGTGCCCGACGCAGAACTCGGCGAGCTTCTGCCCGCCGCAAAGAAGCTCGCGATAGCTGTCGGTGCAGCAGAGTACAACATTTTGCAGAACAACGGACGCGGGGCACATCAGATTGTTGATCATGTTCATGTTCATATGGTAGGTTTTCCCGTCAAGCCATATCCGGTGGGGGGAGGATGGAGGGCTAATGATTTGGCGGGGTGGGGATAGATCCCGAAGCCAAATGCAAAGGAGGGGCTGGGGATAGAGTGGCCGGCGCAGGCTACCGATATGGACGGGTTGAAGGCGCTGTTTGAGGAGTTGAAGGCGAAGATCTAGAGGGGGGGGAGGGGGCGAGTGATTGGGGGTGAGGCGTTGCCCTTCAATGAGTGTGATATGGTTGGGCGATTCGATTGCTACTTGTGATAGTAACAGAAAGTACCTAACTCGATATGGAAAAAGAAAAAAAAGGATGAAGACAATTTTTTAAGCTTCCAATTTCTTTTCCCTCTCTTCAGCTCCCCTCTCCTTGCTTCGGACGTCTTGGCCCTGTACGTTACCCTATCCTATCTCCATCCAATCCATCCACCTTCCGAAAACCATTCTCGTTCGTTCGTTCGCTCGCTCCCTATCGTGCAATCGTTCGCAACGAAGAAAAAAAAAGAAGAGTAAAGTGAGCAATCGAACTCGACAGAGGGAGTAGTGATCGGGGAAAGGGGGAAATGTGAGAGCAGCGTGAACGGCATGGTGTTGGGGGTGTATAGGATGCGATGTGTTTCGGAGATATGAAGTGCTCGTGAAGCTAGGGTAGGGTATATATATGGGACGTCAAAACGGCGGGGAGTCATGCAGAGGTTATGATATGATGGGATAGCGGTGATGGCGGTGGCAAATAGTGATATTCTATGCATAAATTTACACAAATAGGTGAACGAAAGAGAATAATACGTACGCTCGCTTGATCGACAAAGTGAAGTGAACAAAGCAGTATCATGATGGGAAGAAGGCAAGTAGGAGGAAGCTTCCATGCATGTTCTCGCGAACTCATCTCGAGTCGGAGAGGGGAAGGATCGCCCTTCTTCACTTTTCTCCCGTGTGCCAATTTTTTCCCGGGCCCATCTCGTCCCTGCCGGTCCCACATCTCTGGACAATTTCTTAGAAAAAAGGACCTGCCCGCCTGCCCGTCGTCCGTTTCCAGATTCCCATGCCCATGGAGGACAAGTTCTCCCCAAAACCTAACTAGAGAGGGCCCGGAACGTTGCGCGCGCCCGTGTATGTGTCCGCCGTTCTCTCGGCCTCTCCCCTTCTTTCTAAGTGATCTTAGTCTTTGTCGGCGCGAACAACCCGCGATACCCCATAACCGCCCCAGCACTGTCGCCACCCTTCCCGATCCCGCCCAGGCAGCCGCTCCTCGCGCTCATCCGTGCACCCCTTGTTTCCTTCAACCCCACCATCCCCCTCACAGCGTGGACCTGCGCTTCCAATGGTGCGGGTTCACCACCGCTCACTCGTCCCGACATCTTCAATCCCTCTCGCAAACTCGCTAATTCCCCCCGCAACGAGACGTACTCCATCCCGATCCTCTCGACATACCCGCGCGCCTTCTCTTCGTACGTTCCCACCAGCGCGAGTAACTCCTTGCTCTCGCTATAGTCCACCCCACGAGCACGCGTCCACAGGGTAGTCTGGGCGCGCTCGATCATGGTGAATTCCCGGACTATGGATGCGTAGATTGGCGCGTGTTGGTGGGAGAGCGTCCTCAGGCTGCGCAGGATTGCGCCGGTCTCTTGGGTGAGGGTTGAGATTGTGCTGTTGATGTGGTGCGTCAGCATTTTGTGGGCCGTTGAGAGGTGTTGCGTTTGTGAGGGCGGGTGGGAGTTGGTTCTCAGGAGGGATCTGTAGAATGGGGGTGACGGGGGAAGGTGGTGGTTGAGGTGTCGGAGGGTTTGGTCATTGGCGGAGTCGAGTCTAGACTCGTTAATTTTTGGCAGGAAGGGGGGGGGGGGGATGGGGGTGGTATGGGGCTTACTGGGTGAGTGCCCGACTGACGGTGCTCTCGAAGGTTTGGAGTAATCCTGCCGCATCTCCCGCTTGAGTCGCGAATTTGAGGAGGAGGTCTGAGAGGGTGTGCTTGCAATCCAGCTCGCTGTGTCGGACCACGGTGCTCAGATCGCTGACCGCTATCTCGCTCTGTTTTAGCAATCCGGCGAGGGCGGGCGCTGCAGCAACACTTGATAGGCTCTTCTCCAGCGCCGTCTCGATCGACAGGAGTTCCGGGAAGTCTACAGTCGCATATTGCGAAGCGTTATGCCCTTCGTAAGCATACCTCGCCTGCGCCAAGGGTGCCCCCGTCATTACTCCTGCCATTGGGAATCTATTCTGCAGCATGACCAAGCTCAGACATCCGAAAAGGAGCATTCCGAAAGAATAACCCCCGCGATGACTCCGTAGGTACTTCAAGTAGCTCCCAAAGGTCGCTTTCGATCCGTGCATGCTCCCAAAGATGGAGCTCTCGCTGACCCGTGAGGGCGAGGAGGAGGAAGCCGTGGGGATATCATCGGAATGCCGAATGGAAGTTTTGGGCTCATCTAAAACTCTACCTTTTAGTCTTACTCGAAGCACGAGCGATATCCAAAACGAGCATACCGAAATCCCACTTTGTCTCGAAGAGACTGTCAAAGCTGGGAATGCCACTTGTCTTCCTATCCAGCCCCGGCTTCCTAAACACCCCCGGCGCCTCCTCCCCCCGCTGCACCGGAGCATGAGCACCGCTCTCAGAGCGTTCACTGACCGGCGATGCGACCGTTGATGCCTCCTCCTCATACTCCTCATTCTCCCCTTCTTCCTCGCCCTCGCTCATGCCAACAGCTATCCCAGCGGCAACTACAGTCCCCCCGGAACCCCCACCCTCTCGACTACCGCTCCAATGCACCCTCCTCCCCTTCCCCATCGCCTGTTCCCCCCCGCCATATGACTGCAAGAACTGCGCCGTGATCGGAAACGGCAGGTCCGCGTTGGGGTTAAAGTCCCCGGCATTCCCGCGCGGGAGTGCCAGGCGATGGTGGAATACCTGCTCGCGCCTTGCCTGCTGCTCTGCCAGCCATTGCGCCCTGCGTTCATAGATTGGGACGCGATTGTAGCCCTTCAGCACCGAGAAGGTGGCCGACAGGGAAGTTTCGGCGGTGCCCGTGGAGAGTTCTTCCCAGGGATCCGTGGTTTCGGTCAGTGGGGTCGTTGGCTGGGAGGGCGGCGGGGAGGAGGAGGCGGTCAGAGGGGCGGTTTCCGCGGGCGAGGGGGACATGGCTTCAGCGTCCTTCTTCTCTTCACTCCCTTGGAGAATTGCTGGATGGGAGTTTATTTGAACGGAAGCAGCGCCCATTTTGGACGCAGAGATTGTTGTTTTTGTTTCGTCTTGGTATGACTCAACCCGATTCGTTTCACATACTCGAGTAAACAGATAAGCAAATAGGAGTCAAAAAGAAAATAGAGAGGGCAAAAGTACACATATACAAGAACTTTGAACGAAACAAAAGAAAAGAAAAAAACAGCAGAAGCACTTCCTAATATACAAGTACCCCCCCCCCCCCTTCCACTCATCCCCACATTCCGCCTTATCTCTCTCCCAAATAATCACGCGTGCGCCTATGAGTAATAATACAGTAACCCTACTCTGCTCGACAGCACAACAAGCACAACTTGACTCCCCCCCTGTCCTATGCCGACGAACCAGAATACAAGTACGGTACCCATAAATAATGACCTGCATATGCCCCCGTGCAAAGTACCACTCCGTCAAACGAATTCCACCCCCCCCCCCTGACACTTTAAGCCCCGCCTTTCTGTCCAGGCGGGGAGGGGGGACGACGTGCTGAAGATATAAAGGTTCTCGTTCGCGCGCGCGCGTGGGGCTGTGCTTCAGTTCATGAGTTGCACTTTTGTCACGGGGTCGACGTGTGAGTCACGTGTTGGAAGGCTGCGTGTGCGAAGCCTGGTGCCGCGTGCAGAAAAGAGGGGGAGGGAGGGGAAGGGAAGGAGGAAGAGTCACCGGGAGGGCTAACGTTGGTTGGTTGGACTCGGTAATGCAAGTGCGGGTGATCGACTGGGAGGATTGGTTTAGATCCTAGGAATCCAAGCCTGAGCTTAGAACGAGTGATCAGATGTGAGGAGGTTGCTGTGGAAATTCGAATTACCGCTACGATATCATGGTGCCGTTGGTTTGCGAGGTGTCGCCAAGCATTTGGGCGTTCGCGCCGCACAACGTTTTTTTCCTTTCTTCTAGAATCAAACCGCGAGACTCTTTTTATTTGGTTCGACACGGTTCTAGGAACAATGATCCAAGGCAGTAACCTCAAGAAAAAACCCCCGGATTACCCAATAATAACTCATGTCTCTAGAGCGTCATAATCATAATAGCGTAAAATAGCACCCTAACCCCATACACCCACCCTACTACGATACAAGAAAGCAATAATAAAAAGCAAAATAATAATAATTAATGCTTCTCTATGTAATCTTGATTCTCGATGGTGACGCTTTTAGTCTATTTGTAGCGGTTAGAATAATTTCTGAACAGATAGGCGGTAACAAGGAGGGTGGGGAGAGGTGTGTTTTACCATGTGGTTGACCTTATACACACCAACTAATCGTGCCGCAAGTTCAAACATGTTATTTCTCAAAGAAATAACAATAAACTGGGCATTCTTAGTCCGTTCCTTGATGTACGAAGCGACAATAGAGACGTTTCTGAAGTCTAGCGCAGCATCAATCTCGTCCATGACGTATAATGGAGTGGGTTTGTAATGATGCAAGGCAAACACCAACGCTAGCGAACTAAGTGTTTTCTCACCACCGGAAAGATTGGAGATGTTCTTCCAACTCTTTTTCGGCGGCATAACACTGAAGAGAATCCCCTCTGAGAAGGGATCTAAGCTGTCAACAAGCTCTAGCTCAGCATTACCACCCATAGTGATCATTTGGTACATTTCCTTTAACCGTAATGAGATGGCGCTAAATCCTTCCATAAACTCTTCGAGTCGTCGTTTCCGGAGGTCGTCCACCCGCTGTTTGGCAGAATCACGAGCGATAACTGACTCTTCAAGGTCCTTGCTTCGCTTTTGGTAGTCCTCAACACGCTTGCGATACTCGGCAAGGACGGCCATGTCGACGTTCACATTTTGCAGTTTTTCTATTCGATAATCAAATCAGTATTCATCATAACAGACCGCTTCGAGCAGGGTACGTACCTTCTAGAGCTGCAATCTCGCCGTTTAATTGAGCTTTATCCATGTCTGCCAATTCATCTTCGGTATATTCAGGCAGACCGAGATCTTCTTCTTCAGTTGCTTCAGGGCCATCGCTGAAACCGACATTAGTATCAACCTGGTCCATAACCACAGTAACTACACACCTAGCACTTTGTAATTCTAGCTTGTTTAGCTCCTGTTCCCAGTGTCTTAACCTCTTCTGATTGTCCACAAGCGCCTTCTGGTGCTCTTCCAACTTGTTCTTCATCTCGATTTCAGCAGCCCTAGTTTTATTGAGTTCCCCAAGCTTCTCATCAAGCTCTTCCTTAACAGCAGCAAGTTCCTCAGACTTCTCCTCGAGATAAGCTTGTGCCTCCTCTGCCTTTGCATTATCGGCTTCGGCCAGTTTTGCATGGTCCTGGATTTCCTCGTGCAGCTCTTCAAGCTCAACTACGGCATTCTCAAGCTCTTTCGTGCTGCCATTGAATGCCTTTTCAGCCTTTGTTCGGCTCTTTTCGGCCTTGGTCCGGGCCATGTCGGCGTTGGAGAGCTGTTCATTCAGTGTCTCGAGCTGTTCCCTAATGCCGTCTACTTTGGACTTCTGTGATCTCAACTTGATACCTCCAACCTCCATGATCATGTTCTGCAGGGATCTGATTTCTTTCTCTATCTCAGCAGTTTCGGAGTTGAGCCCTCCAATCTCTTGGCCTAGCTGCTTAATCCTACTCTCAAGGATTGAAACTTGTTTACCATCCACCTTAGAGGTTTTGCCTTGTGCGCTCAATTCCCGGATTCGTTTCTCCAAATCAGTCCTTTGTTTATTCCCGGCTTCGATCTCGAGCACAATCTTAGAAATCATGACTTCCGCCTCTGGTATGCGTCCTTTTATATCCCTGAGAGTTGACTCCAGTTCACTTCGCTGTTGTTGAAACTCCTGGAAGATTCTCTCCTGCGTGTCTCTATCGGCTTCCAATTTGGCAACTGCCTCCTTGGAGGTATCGGCGACAAGTTTACTTGACATCTTTCCTTTGGAGACAGTTTGACCGCCTCCAGTCATAGTACCTGATTTATCAATCAACTGTCCCTCCAGTGTCACAACCCTCCATCTTTTAGCTCCGTACGCAATACGGTTAGCCTGAGCAAGGTCATTCGCAACAAGGGTATCTTGGAGGACGCTGTAGAAGGCAGGAGCAAGTATTGGACTTTTCGGCTTGACAAGGTCGAATAACCTAGGCACATTCTCTGGCGTTCCGATAGCATTAAGGTTTCTAGAGTGAAGTTTGTCGAGGCAAATGAAGTTGGCTCTTCCAAGGTTATTCTTGCGGAGGTAGTCGATACACTGTTGACCTGCCTCGACGCTATCCACAACCATGTTGTCGAGCTGGGGACAAGCGGTCGAAATAGCAACGTCATATCTAGCATCAATCGTTCCAAGATTCCCGAGACGGCCATGGAATCCTTCGATTCTACCAGATTCTTTCAATCGCATCAATCCAGTCAAGACGTTACCCTGAGTCTGGGTGGCAGCAAGGGAGGCCTTCGCTTCATCGGCTTTCTGCCTTGCCCCAGAAACGTTGTTCCGTAGCTGTGGTTCCTTCTGGTTTATCTTCTCGAGCTCGGTCTGTAGTTTCTGGCCCTGCTTGCTGAGCTTCGCAATTTCCTTCTGGCAATCCTTGAGCTCCCGTTCCTTCACAGCACCAGACTCGCCGATGACAGCGATCTTTGTTTGAGCTTCCTCCATGGCATTCCGGCTAGCATTGTTTTTCTCGTAAAGAATATCAAGCTCACTTTGCGCGACCGCAATGGCAGACTGCTTCTCGTTGATCTTCTCCCTCCACGGCTCTAGCGTCTTTTGCTTAACAGCGATCTGATCCGAAAATCCCTGCGTTTTCTCTGCGCATACACATTAACTTCATTCGAATGAACACGAGTGTCAGGGAATTGGGATTGGCCACCTTTGAGAGTGTCACGGATACGATCCAACTCCAGCTCTTCGGCATCCAAATTTGTTTCCAGAGTTGCAATCTGTTTTCCAAATCTCTCGAGATCCTGCGTGTGTTTTTCAATCGTAGCGGCCGCCTCTGATGTAGCTAGCCTATTCTTTCAGATGTTAGCCTGCAGTGAAACGAATTTCAGGATTTATGAGAACAAACCGTCTGAATCGCCTTCTGCAATTTTTTCTGCTTCTGAGTAAGAAACTTTTCTTTCTCCTGAAACTTGACATTCTCTTTTTCGCTCTTGGCTAACTCCTTAAGAATGGCTTTTGTAGCGGCCTCCACTTCCTCCACTTCCTTAGAACCGACCTTGTACTTTCTCTCTAGCTTCTTGATCTCATCTTCATTGCCCCGGTGCTTCTCTAGCTCCTCATCCAGTTGTGCCTGCAATTGAGTGGTCATCTCCGCGGTGACATTGATGTTCGCCGTGCTATCCGCAATGTGGATTTGGTAGAGCGCAGACTTTCTCACCGTAAGTTCATTCTCGTTCCGGATGAACTCAAGTGCGGCCTCCTTTTTGTCCTCGAGGCTATTCTTTTCCTTCTCGACATGTTGTACCCTGGTGGATTTCTCAACGCAGATCTCGTTAAGTTCCTCGACTTGGGTGGCCGACTCCTCAATGGGTTGTTTATACTTGCTAGTGCCGATGATATCTTCTAGATATTCCAACAAACCATCGTCACTGTCGTGTTGGGCTTTAGGCTTCATTTGAGCAATACTCTCAACTTCACCCTGGAGAATAAGGAATCGCTTGTGGTCAAGATCGATTCCACGGCCACGAAGAAGAGTAGTAACCTGGGTATAATCGCTCGTTCCGCCATTGATGTAATATCTGCTGGAGTTGTTCTTGAAGGCACGACGGGAAACAACCAACTTTGAATCTGGAACCACTCCGTGTCCGCCGCCAGCCGCATCAAGGACTTCTTGGAAGTGGACTTCGACTTCGCAGTAATCAAGATTCGGGAAAGCAGCTGAATTGTGAATTAAGGCTGAAATCTTCCCCTGTCGCATCTTACTTGCGCGGAATCCAAAGACGAATAGAAGAGAGTCGATGACATTAGACTTCCCCGAACCATTTGGCCCGACAACGG